TGGCACATTTCTCTCTTCCGCCCTCCATTGGTGCCTCTTCAAATTGTACAACACTGCTGGTCACAGCTGACCTCCAGCTGGAGTGGTCAAGGGCCAGGGCTTCCCAGTTCTCTGTGTCTATGCCACAGTTTCTAAGGTTGGCTTTAAGCCTATCTTTAAATCTCTTTTCCTGTCCTTCAACATTCCGTTTTCCGTTCTTGAGTTCAGAGTAGAGCAACTGCTTTGGGAGACAGTTGTCGGACATCTGGACAACGTGGCCGGTCCAGCAGACTTGATGGTGGAGGACCATTGCTTCAATGCTGGTGGTCTTTGCTTCTCCCAGCACAGTGACATTTGTCCATTTATCTTCCCAAGAGATTTGCAGGATTTTTCAGAGGCAACACTGATGGAATTATTCTAGGAGTTGCATGTGACACTGGTAGAGATAGTCCACATCTCGCGGACGTATAGCAGGATTGGGAGGGCAATAGCTTTATAAACAAGCACCTTGGTCTCCCTATTGATGTCCCGGTCCTCAAACACTCTCTGCTTCATTTGGAAAAATGCTGCATTCACAGAGCTCAGGCAGTGTTGTATTTCAGTGTCAATGTTGACTTTTGTGGAGAGGTGGCTTCCAAGGTAGCAGAAATGGTCAACATTTTCTAATGTTACACCATTAAGCTGTATTTCTGGCATTGGAGAGGGATTAGCTTGTGACTGCTGGAAGAGCACTTTGGTTTTCTTGTTGTTCAGTGTCAGGCTGAGCTTCTCGTATGCTTCTGCGAAGGTGTTTATAGTGGCTTGTAGGTCTTCTTCTAATGGTTGCTTGTTCAAGAGACTTGGGAGCATAAAGGACTTGCTCATAATTACACATTCTTAATGTGAGGAGTTCCATTTCCATCTCCAACTACTGGGAAGATTGCAGCTGAACACAGAGGAATCAAAGACATAGAAGTGAAGGGAATTTTTGAAGGGCCTGGCAGCTCTCCAAATAAAAAGTAGAGTCAGATTTTCCGTATTCCACAATTAATAGCACAGAAAGGTTCAAGGAAGCTGTGGCTCTTTTGCTTAAAGTCTCCTAAAACTCAGGTTGCAATCTTCTTGCTAGGCATGATGCTCTTTGTATTGAATCGTCAAGCAAGGGCATTCTTGAATGACATGACCATGGTTTGAAATAATGTGGGTTCTTTAATATGAGGAACATCTGGCAGAGGCAGATGCCTGTTTGCTTCAGACCAAAAAGGATTACTCCAGCCCACAAGAGCAGGATTTGGGAGGAAAACATTTCCCCCCTGTGGCAGTCAGTACTAACAGCAGGCACCCCACAACTCATGTCTTTGGCCTTTATTAATTTTTGTCTCATGATGTGCTTAATTTTGAACACGTGGCCACTTTAACTGTCCTGTGAAAGCCTGAGCTTCTTGCATTTTTACTATTGTTTGACTACTTCCTGTTTTAACATTTCTTCTTATTTCACATAGGCCTTCTCAACCATATGCCCTCTAAATTTAACTCTAAATGTTTGTTTACATCCTATTAGTTTTCTTAACTTTCCAACTTTTACAACCACAGAAGTGAGGGATAGAATAGTATGGGTCATCCTTAGTGTCATTATTATTAAATGTGCTTGATGACAACAGGAAAGGAGATTCCACCTGAACTTCCTAACTGTGAGAGCTGTTCAACAGCGGAAATCTCTGCCCTGGAGTGTGGTGAACTCCTTCTTTGGGGTTTTTTAAGCAGAGGCTGGATGGCCATCTGTCGGAGGTGCTTTGAATGCAATTTTCCTACTTCTTGGCAGGGGGTTGGACTGGATGACCCACGAGGCCTCTTCCAACTGTATGATTCTATGACTCAAGGTCTTGGTTGTTTTTGATACTCGTATATTTAGGTTGTCTTTTGTTCTTCGTTTCTTTCAGGGTCACCCTTGAAATGTTACACTTGCCTGTTCCCCACCATCTCCCCACTGGACTGTTTTAAGTTCGTCACACCGTGCGGACCATCGCAGAGGTGCCTCCAGTCTGTGACAACGGGGCACAGAGGTTCGTTTGCAAAATTTCTGACCATCTTCCCAAAATGGTTTACAGTTGGCCATCCATATTTGCGGGCTTCACTTTTGCAGATTTTATTAAGATGTGCTCTCTTGGAATGTTTTGATTCTCCAGCATGATTCCATGGTCAACTTCTGCCACAGAGTCACATTTGAGAACCCAGGGGTTCCTAGAAAGATGTTCTAGGAAGTTACAAAAAGTAGTAGGTTTTTAAAATTAATGTCATTTTCACTTGGGGGGGGGGGGGGRGGGTCCTGAGCCCCAAATCCCAATATATGTGGAGGCCTGACTGTAGTATATTTTGTAGASTTTTTTTTYTTCAAGTCCTRGGAAAGCAAATKGAGAGAWRGAAGAATATTTTGAAGGTGGGCTGKGGACATTTTTTGGATRCCAGATTCTAGGGACACAGCTGGAAAGGGCTGTTGTTGCTTTCCTGCCCTGGATTCCTGAAGGAATCTGGCCATAGCCGGAACTAGGATGTTGGTTGAAACATACAATGAATTTGAAGATTTTGGCTTTCATCTCGAATCCTTTGCCTTAGCCATGTCATCTAAAGGAAGCTGGAAATAATAATACATACATATGAGAAGATCATTGACCTAATCTAGCAAATCCGTGTTTATGACTAGATTGAAAAGCAGAAATTTTGCAACCTGAACAAGCATATTTCTATGTGTTTATTTTTAGGAATTTAGAACTACAATCCTAAACAAGCACATTTGCTAGGAAGCCTTTGCCACAGGAGTCAGTGGGCTTGACTTCTGTGTAAATGCATGTGAAGTTATGTCATTATGATGCAGGGGGAAAGTGGCTAAGAAATAATAATAATAATAATAATAATAATAATAATAGCTGACACAATACTGGGTGCAGTGCCTAATGACCTTGGCCTACACTTAAACACAATTGGCGGTGACAATATTACCATCTGTCAGCTGCAAAAGGCCACCCTACTGGGATCAAATACAAAAGCCAGTGTAGTGATCTTTTTTACTGTGTTGCGTATCATATAATAATAATACAATTTGCAGGCATTCCACACAACCCAGACAGTGAGTTTATTCCGACTCCAGGAGAAATGGACACATCAAGGGAGTAAATTGACCTTTGGTCTATCTCATTTCTCATTGTTCTTCTTGGATCAGGTGCTCTTGAGGTGGTGATCCATGAGATGAGCTGTGGGAATCCTTCCATGTGTGGCCTCCGCGGCACCCGCTCCATGTTGGGAACCAATTTCACCTACTACACTACCTGCTGCTCCACCGATCTGTGCAACAAGGCTGTTCAACAGGATGTCCACATTTTCTGGGGGCTGCTGCTTGCTTCCCTGTCATTCTTCCTGGTAAACATCTCCTGAGATGGCTATCTCAAAACTCACTCGCAACATTTTGCCAATTTCTGTCAGTTCTGTAAGAGATCCATCTACCCCCAAATTATTATAGGGGAAAGGTGCATTGATGACCCTTCTTTTCCTATCTCCTTTTATTCTACTTTCTTACTTTCCCAGCTGGAATTTATGGCTGTTCCAAACAACAGTAATAAAACATTATTGTATGCCTCATGCCTCTGTTGACTTTGTCTCAGAAATGGAAAGTGGAAATTTTGCCAAAATGAAAGGAGGTGAGTGGGACCAAGTCCTTCCCACATCGTACTTTATGGTCTTTTTCTCCCTCCACTATCAGCATGTGAACTAAAAACTACTCCCAGCTGCAATCTCATAACTATGTGATACATGAGGCATGGGCAAGCTTAAGCATCTGAGGGGAAAAGGGAAGGGGCCTGTGAATGTTAGGAATTGTGGGAGTTGAAGTCCAAAACATCTGGAGGGCCAAAGTTTGCCCATGCCTGTGATATACTGTCATGTTCCTATCTCAGCAGGACCCTGCAATCTGTAGTTTGGTAAGGTATTGAGACTTCTCTCCTGAAGTCTGCTCCCTTTTGTGTCACAACTCTCCATTACAGATTTCGAAGCACCTCACCAAACTACAGATCCCAAGGGCCCACCAATGTGGAGGGTGACTTCAACAACTGCAAGTGAAAATGAACTCAGATTTTGTGATGGCTTTGAAATTCCTCCCTGTCTGTTAATACACACTTTAGAGTTATTGCTACAGGCCCTCTTAAAACTGTATCTTAGGGTCTCAACATCTATATGCAATGTTTGTTTGTGGGATCAACATAACTCAAAAACGACTGGACGAAATGACACCAAATTTGGACACAATACACCTATCAGGCCAATGCGTGACCATCACTAATAAAAACACTGGAAAACACAGCGGAAGAGATGTAAAAAGCCAAAAATAAAATAAAAAATACATTACAACATGTGCACAAAATCACACACACACAGATACATACATGAAAACACACATAAATAAAGGTAAAGGTTTTCCCCTGAAATGGTGCTCATTTCCATATGTATTTCCATACGTATATATACACAAATATATACACACACAAAACATATATACACAGACTGGGCCACAGCAACGCATGGCAGGGGATGGTTAGTATCTCAATATGATTCCGAAAGCGACCAAACCTTCTAGGGTTGGCCTTACAACTCTTGTCCATGTGATACTATCTTAATACTGTATTTCCATACTTACCAATTTGATTTTCAACAGCTTGAATAATGGACTATGGATTTGGAAAATGATTTGGACATGAGACCATGACTCGGCATTTTATATGGTTTTAATCTGTTTGATTAATTGATATGTGTTTTAGATGCTTATATATTTGGATTTTTTATATTCTGATGAGCTGCGTTTTATTGTTTAGCTGTGCAGCTAAACCTTCGGGGTCAAGAAAGGTGTGGTAAAAATGAAGTAAATAACAATGATAAATAAATAATAATAATTTTACTATAACTTATACTGCTGATCTGAATGCTCATGGATGCTGTTTAGAACATATCTAGTATGTTATTCCAATGGAACCGAAAAAATGAGGTCAAACAGTTCATTTGGTATTTTTAAAAACAAGTTATTTCAATTTTTATTTATATTTAAATTCAAATCATTTTGTCCCACACAGAAACAGATTCCCCCCTCCCGCTGCTGTGAAATACATGTACATACATAAAAAATATCCCTTGATGCCCCCAACCCCAACAATCCCTGCCACGGAAGTGCCACGTCCCTTTTCCATGCCCAGAAGTTTGTTATTTCAAGGCTTTGGCAACCAGCTCGTAAGCTAATTCAATTTCTTCATCATCTGGACAGGTGCTGGCAAATTCCTCACGAGCGTAAGCATTTTTCAGATAGCGGTGGATGCCGCGGAACTCCTCAGGGATGGTAAAGTTACGGTATTTCTTGCAAACCACCTGTTGGGATTGGTCCAAAACAGAAGAGAACAGATTATGCAAAAATAGTACTAAGTATGCCAACTGGCATGATTTGCTACAGAACAGAATCCTGTTACATGTTGGATTATTTTACTTTGTTACTTCTATGACAGTGGTTCTCAACCTGTGGGTCCCCAGGTGTTTTGGCCTACAACTCCCAGAAATCCCAGCCAGTTTACCCACTGTTAGGATTTCTGGGAGTTGAAGGTCAAAACATCTGGGGACCCACAGGTTGAGAACCACTGCTCTAAGAGATAGTGAAGAGCATTTTATTAGTGATCTTACATATGCTACATTCCTTGGACTTCTTGTTTTTGTTGTGTGGGTTGTTTCTGACCTATGGTTACCCTAAGCTGAATCTTGTCAAGATTTGTTTTGTCACTGCCTTCCTCTAAGGATAGAAGAGTGTGCCTTTCCAAGGTCACCCAATGGGTTTCATGGCTGAGTGAGGACTTGAGCACTTGTTTTGAGTCATAGTCCAATATCTGAAATATTACACCAGGAAGAAAAAGACGGATGCACTCTATCTAAGAGGGCAAACTCATCCCTTACCCTTCTCTGACCAAGTTGAGATCGGTTGCTTCTCTGTTGCATGGATCCATTCCTTCCCCTTAACCCTCCTTACCAGTGGGAAAAGCAACAGGAACCTCTCTTTTAAGACTTTATAGGTGCTATTTTGCACTGATTATTATGTTACCTCATGTATTTTGTGATGTAATTTTGTTGTTTTGTATTTTATTTTGCTGTATTGTATCTTCGGGCTTGGCATCATGTTAGCTGCCCCGAGTCTCGTTTGGGGAGATGGTGGTGGGGTTTAAATAAAGATTATTATTATTATTATTATTATTATTATTATTATTATTAGGTACAGAACTGTACATGTGGTAAATGGGGAGGGGTTGTTGGCTACATAGCAATTTAAAATAATTTTATTTAACAACAAGTTGACTCTTCCTTGTCCAGAATGCTTGGGGCCAAAAGTTTTTCAGATTTTGGAATACCCATGTTTGTATATACATAGTGAATGAGAAGGGGTCTAGTAACATGTTATGCGCTCACTGTGTTTGTCATCAATGACACCAGACAGTGTAAAAGCAGACATCCCAGGTACTTTCCTAGGCATCAGCACACTTTCCTTCCTTCTAGTAAAACAGCCAGAAGTGGTAAGGAAAATGCTCCCCCTTGCCCAACCCTAAGCAAGTCTTTTTAATTCTTTCTGAGATGGATATAGGTGGAAACCAATGAGTCACTTGACACACAGGAGCCCCTAGTGGCGCAGTGGGTTAAAGCCCTGTGTCGGCAGAATTGAAGACCGACAGGTCGCAGGTTCAAATCCGGGGAGAGGCGGATGAGCTCCCTCTATCAGCTCCAGCTCCTCATGCGGGGACATGAGAGAAGCCTCCCACAAGGATGATAAAAACATCAAAAATCATCCGGGTGTCCCCTGGGCAACGTCCTTGCAGACGGCCAATTCTTTCACAACAGGAGCAACTCCTGACACGACAAAAAAAAAAACTTGACACACAGCCCAGACCACTATTGTCTCATCTCAGTGTGGAATCTGGGATACCTGTTTTTACAAGGGGCTTGTCCCCCACACTTCAATCTCTTTTTCCTTCCCATATCTCTCTTAAGGAAAGACTCAGCAGGGGTTGGATGTGTAACTAGCCACCTTTCTCCAACGTCAAAAGTGGGTAGCCAGTGGCAAAAAAGTTTCAGATTTCAGAGCATTTCAGATTACCAAAAAACTGAGACTCTTTGGCCATGAGTTTTCTAGTTTCCTAAATTAATATTCCATTCTTATCATATGTGTATGTATGATTTGATATGAATGCATTAGCCTATTTGTCTATGTTCGAAAGCTCTGGTTTGCTATCCCACAGAAGCTGTCCAAATGCCCATGAGGCACCCCGAAGCAGGACATGAATGTCGTAGTAGGTCCCAGAAAATGCTAAACCGAGAGGCACATATCTTCTAAAGGAGGAAAGGAGTTCACCTTGACAATGTGCAGCTTTGGCAGCAGATTGCAGTCGGCCAAAGTGAGTTCGTCCCCATCAAGGAATTTGCGGTTGGACTGGCCCTCATCCTCAGCACTGTTCTCATCCACCTCTTCTGGGAGTGGTGTCACCAAATATATATCCATAACCTTCAATGCTTTCAGCAAACCTTTCTCGAGGTCTACATAATGAGGGGAGGATAGGGTGGAGGGGAGGGAAGGAGGAGGAATACGTGGAACGAATGAAAACTGAAGGGACAACGCATAACATCTGAAAGTAGTAGTAACAATGCTGGAAAAGGAGCCAATGGGATTTAAGGTGAGAAGGCAATGAAATTGAAGAAATAATTGGAAAAGAAAAAAGAATAAATGAGAACACAAGAGAAAGAACAACTTCAATGGTCAAGAATTTTAGGGACACATTTATTACTTTTGGGAAGACAAGATACGTGTATATTACCACTTTTGGCTTTTCATAAATAGATAGATTGCAGATCCACACACATTTTGGTGACTCAAATGTTAGTGCTGTTTCTGGGTATATTTGATGTGCTGATTCCAAAAATGGCACCAGTTTTCCCATATTAGTTCTAGTTTTTGACATAACAGAACATACGCCATCTAGCAGTGGCCATCCGCTCACCCATAGAAAATTATGATAACCATGACTAAGAAACAAGAACTGGTGCAGTCTTTTCAATTGGATTTTCTGAATCAGCACCCCAAAGAACCCAAGGAACAGGTCTAAAACACCAATAAATTTTGTTGGGCTTTGCTATAATATAAATATATAGTAAATTAGAATTGTAATAAAGGTAACACATAACAGAAGCTTTAATATATATCTCATATCATCTTTTCCTGAAGTGTGCAGTGTTGTATTTTGTGTGCAGAGTCATTTGTAAAATCATAGAATCCTACAGTTGGAAGAGACCTCATGGGCCATCCAGTCCAACCCCCGGCCAAGAAGCAGGAATATTGCATTCAAAACACACCCAACAGATGGCCATCCAGCCTCTGTTTAAAAGCCTCCAAAGAAGGAGCCTCCACCACACTCTGGAGCAGAAAGTTCCTCTGCTGAACAGCTCTCACAGTTAAGAAGTTCGTCCTAATGTTCAGGTGGAATCTCCTTTCCTGTACTTTGAAGCCATTGCTAAGTGTCCTAGTCTCCAAGGCAGAAGAAAACAAGCCTGCTCCTTCCTCCTTATGACTTCCCCTCACATATTTATACATGGACCTCATCATGTCTCCTCTCAGTCTTCTCTTCTGCAGGCTAAACATGCCCAGCTCTTTAAGCCGCTTCTCATAGGGCTTGTTCTCCAGACCCTTGATCATTTTAGTCAGCCTCCTCTGGACACATTCCAGCTTAGAGTCAACATCTCCCTTTAATTACGGTGCCCATAATACGTAGAATTTGTACATGTAAGTTTCCCTTATTGCTTTTTTTTTGTAGATGGAACTTTTTGAAACTATTTTAAAAAGGGGGAAAGAGCTAATGGGTTTTGAAGATAGAAGGTAATTAAAATTAAGAGTTAAGTTAGAAAAGAAGAGAGAGAACCAGTACAAACAAGAAAAAAAGAAGAGCCACAGTTGAGAAGAATTTTAGAGACAGGGAGAAACTGAGCATCACAAAAATCAATATTAGCTCCACTGCAAATTTAGGAAAAGAAAAGAGCTGCCAATAAAAACAAAATTATTGGGACGGCAATTCTTGAATGAGCTTTGAAATGATGAGAGGGAACCTGAATGAATTAAAGTATCAAGCTTGAGGGAAAGAGATAAGAATCAATAGCTGAGAAGAAACTACAAGTGAGAAAGAAATGGAAATAAAAAACCTAAAATTACAACCTGCAACAAAATGTTGCAGCACAGAGTTATAGATAAGCCAGCCACCAAGCCATGTTCTTGCCCATTCCAGTGATTCCCAAACTGTAGTCCTCCAGGTTCAACTTCTAATAGCCCTAACTGACTTTGCCAACCATCAGGAATTCTTGGAACTGAAGTCTAATATACTTGAAAAACCAAATTTTGGGAACCACTGCTCTATTCCATCCTCTCCAACTTTTTTTAGCCCGAGTTGCTGTAGGTTTTTTGGGTTGTATGGCCATGTTCTAAAAACATTATCTCCTGATGTTTCACCTGCATCTGTGGCAGGCATCCTCGGAGGTTGTGAGGTCTGTTGGAAACTAGGACAATTGGGTTTATTTATCTGTGGAATAAGGTCCAGGGTGGGAGAAAGAACTATTGTCTGTTGGAGCTAGGTGTGAATGTTTCAATTGGCCACCTTGATTACCATTTGATGGCTAGCAGTTTTCAAGGTCTGGCTTCTTACTGCCTGGGGGAATTATTTGCTGAGAGGTGATTACCTGTCCCTGATTGTTCCTCTCTGGATTTCCCCTTGAGTTTACCCCAATAGAACCCCCATCTTCTGTTTTCAGTAAGCATGCTCACACCTCGCTGGTGTGGGATTCTTGTAAATGTGGTCACCTTTCTTACAGATTTTTTTCTCTATTTCTCATAATTCTGCAAACACTGGGCTTTCCTCTGGCATGCGAATGCCTCCCTTTTGTTCATGGATCACCTCTCACCGGGAGCCCCCGGTGGCTCAGAGGGTTAAACCCCTGTGCCAGCAGGACTGAAGACCGACAGGTCACAGGTTTGAATCCGGGGAGAGGTGGATGAGCTCCCTCTGTCAGCTCCAGCTCCCCAAGCAGGGACATGAGAGAAGCCTCCCACAAGGATGATAAAAACATCAAATCATCCGGGCGTCCCCTGGGCAACGTCCTTGCAGACGGCCAATTCTCTCACACCAGAAGCGACTTGCAGTTTCTCAAGTCGCTCCTGACACACACACACACACACAAAAGAAAACCTCTCAGAAAAAAATAAACTAGTTAATTTGGCTGATACCGGATAAGGATCCAAAATGAAAACTGAACTGGAAGGTGAAAAAGGAGCAGGACGCGAGGTGGAAAGGAGAGGCCAGAATAGCCAATGAAAACCAAGCAAAAACTGAGTGAAGCAGATGGTGGGTTAGAGCCAATAACTAAGCAAGACTGAAGAAGTCAAACCACAAGAAGCAGGGAAATGAAACAGCCAATATAAGGAGAAAGATAGCATGAAGGCAAATGTTGAGAAGACAACATTTGCAAAGAGACAATAAATCAAGATTTGGGAGCAAAGATACTTACTAGCATTGAGTGCTGGGTTTGAGTTCTTGATGAAAGCAGAGAACCTGGCAAAGACATCAAGTCCAGCTGTGTTGGACTCTGGATTACGGGCAGCCAACTTGGGGTACCTATAGAAAAAGAAGCAGAAGTCCATTATAAGGCAGCCTCATTTTGGTGGTGGCACCTCCTAAAACATCTAGAGGCGAAAATAGCCCCTTTCCTAAAGCTTCATTTAGTTCTTACTTAGGAGGGCACAGAACTTCTTCCAGAAATTCTTCAATCTTGTTAGTGTCTGTATGGACCTCTGTCCCATACATCAGGAATGGTAGCTGTCCTCCAGGGCAGAGCTTTTGTACTGTCTCTGTCCTCCTAAAAGAAAGAGAGGGAAACAATAGTACCGTTTATACTTACACAAGGGATGTTGTTGGTATTAAATAAAAAGATACTAACAAACCTAAAAAGACAACAATATCTATGTAGTCGTTAACGTGAAAGAGAAGACATCTTATGAAGCATTAGATATATTTCACCCACCTTTTGGTATCAACTGTGGTTACATTGAAGGTCACTCCCTTGAGCCAAAGGACCATGAAGAGCCTCTGGGAAAAGGGACAGTTCCCAATTTTGGCTCCATCACTGCCAGCCTGGGGGAAAAAAACAAAACACTGAGGTTCATACATTTCATAATTCAGGAGACACTAATCTCTTATGTTGTAATAAGGATCAAGTTCTCCAAGTAACACAGCACTCTATAGTACCTTATCTCCTCCTACAGGATGGTTAAGTGGTAATCACAATGGGACATTCAAAGTATGTCTTTAATTACAAGGTATTCCAGAGGAAAGAACTAGCAAAACCATCTCTTGATCATTCTTTGCCTAAGAAACCCTTTGAAATGAATGAGATGTAAGTCAACATCAACAGGCAACTTACAGGTGTATTTCCTTGTCTTTCACAAGCAACTGCAATAGCAACCCCTGCCTCCTAGATTAGGTATTACCCTTTCCCAGACCTGGAAAAATGTCACAGATAGTAGTACTGACAGTCTCTAGAATTTATTGTTTGGGGATATTACTAAAGCTAGACTTCCCATGATGTTTGTGGCTCAGCTCCCTTTAATCCCTGCTTTCATGTATCTACATCCACCCAAATACTTCACAAAACACCAAAGCAGGACTTCTTGATAATCATAGATGATTGGAATTCAAAAACAGGAAACAAACCAGAATAAAAAATTGTAGGAAAAAATGGATGAGGTCCTGCAGGCCATCAGATAGTCTGCTGATCAATGCAGGACTACCAACTAGATCAGTGATGGGCAACCTTTTGAGCTTGGTGTGTCAAAATTCACCAAAAAAAAAAAAAAAACACAGCATAACATAGCTTCCACTATTTCCAATGGTGGGAAACAGAACCCATAGCACATGCCCTCACCTCTTCAAGACTCCCCCTCACTTATCTCAATAAGGATGGTCAATTAGAAATCCAAGACACCCCAGAAAGTAGATTGGATGATGATGATAATAATAATAATAATAATAATAATAATAATAATAATAATAATAATTTTATTTTTATACCCTGCCAACCATCTCCCCAATGGGACTCGGGGCGGCTTACAAGGGACAAGCCCAAAAATTACAATACATTCTGAAGGGAATGCAAGAGAAGTACAACAATCAAGTAGGCAGGGCTGGAAATATTGTCATCAAAAGTATTGAGGTAGATAATAAGAGGGCTGATGTAAAGTGCTGAAAAGTGCTTAAAGTAGGGACAGGAAAATTACTGGTGGACTACTTAATCAAAAGCACACTGGAACATCCAGGTTTTTAGTTGTCTCCGGAAAGAGGACAAAGTGGGAGCCTGTCTGATCTCCCTAGGGAGGGAGTTCCAGAGCCAGGGTGTCACCACTGAGAAGGCTCTCTCCCTCGTCCCCATCAACCATGTTTGAGACAGGGTGTTGAGGGGGAGAGAGCAGTACCTCCCCTGATGATCTCAAGATACGCACAGATTCATAGGGGAAGATGCAATTGCGGAGATAGCAGGACCCGATGGTTGCTGTGGTTATGTGGTTGCCGTTAATGGCGATCACAGGGCCCCCAGAGATGCATCCCCTGTGACATTCCGCTGCTCCCTGCTCCGCTGGCCAGAAGTGAGGTCAAAGATCCCCTAACAGCCTAACTGGAAGTCCCGGAACTAGATGCTCTGTGCTGGAGTTCAGTTGTTTGACCTTCAGACCTCCGGCAGAGTGTCTATACTACACTACACTACACAATGTTTTATCCTTGGCTCCTGCACCTGGCCGTGTAGGAGTCGAGGATGAAATGTGTTTGGCATGTGGCCCCATACTTCTCTGTATGCGGCCACATCAAAAATGGTGAAGTGTGTCAGTGCTGACATGCGTGTCATAGGTTCACCATCACGGAACTAGATGAAGATGTCCATATTATATTGTTCCACTATGGAAGTAATTCTATCATTGGGCATTAGGTGGCAAACTTTCCTTGGTTTTAAGTATACTCAACAAGTCTAGGAAGGGAGGCATTGTTACTACATCTGTGGAAACCTGACCCTTGCATTGCCCTCTGTATAGATGTTAGTAAAAACACAAGTTGTTTATTAACAGGAGAGTTTCCTCTGTAGGTCTTTAAGTATCTTGGCCTTCAGCGCCCTTGACTATTTCCTATGCTAGCTAGAGAGTCTGGGAGTTAGGGTCCAATAGCTTAGGAAGGTCAAGGGTTGAAAAGGAATGAAGGGCAAAAGCAAGGAGAAATTTGTAAGCAGAGTTGTATTCAATACAAGAAGACAAAAAGGAACAGCCTTAATTAGTGATTTTTAAATATAACTTTTTATGAGATTTCTTTGGTAGTTTTGAAATTATGTTATTGCAGTTATTTACAAATTCCAGCATGTTAAAAATTCACAGCAAAATGGAAATCAGAAGGAAAGTGGAAGGTAGTAAAAAGAAAGAAATATTCCTTGATATACAACACAACCTCTGTATTTATAGGGCATACCTTTCTGAACTCACTGTGGAAACTGGAAACCTCATACCAGAAAACCCTATTGAAATCAATTATTTCTACCATAAGTCACCAAAGATTGAGGTTCTCAAAATTGCTAATACTGGAGGTGTGGTAAACTTCTGAACAAATCTTGGCATTGAAACTATGATAGTTTGCCTTAGGGTTGGGTCAGAAATGACTTGAAGGCACATAACAACCCTTATCTTTCTACGTTAGGGTAGCCCAAGGGGGAAAAGACTCTTGTACCTTTAAAGGTTGTAAAAAACAGATTTCAGAATGTGTTGCTTGTTTGCTGGTTGACATGACAAACACCTGTTGAAATTCTTTTATTTCCACCACCCTTAAAGGTTCCCAAGCCCTTTCCAGTTTTCACTCTGGCAGCTCCAATCTCTGTAACATTCCACAAGATGTTATCTTTTTGAGCAAGCCATCTCTTTCAACACCACATCTCTAGTTCCCTTTAAAGCAGCACTACAACTTCCCAAAAGCTCGTAGATATAATTTTCACACAGGACTGGCAAGGAGGTGGCTGTGTTGAAGGTTGTTAAGCCTTTTAATTTATAAACATCACATACTAGTGTGTGTGCCCAGCATTGCCTGAGTATGCATATTATAATGGGACCATTCATAAAATCATAAAGCATCTCAGTACAGATTAACTCAGGTTAATTCTTTTCTCCACGCATACAAAATACTCTGAATATAGGATTCCGTTAAGAACTGATGCCCCAAATTTGGTCATCTTAAGAACCCCTTTCTCCCATCTCCAGCTGGCTTCCATCTCTGCCTATCACTCTGAGAAGACCTCTCTTATAACACCACAATGGAAACTGGTGACACTTTAGTCACCTCCATTGGTCATCTCTTCCTCTGAGGTAGACTTTCTATCTATATACTGCCCTCTTGTGGTTGCATCTGAATTTTGCATATATACACACACACATCTAATTGTTTTTGAGATGTAGCCCCAAAAGAAGTGGATTTTTCTACTTGACACCCAACCGCTATTTTAAATTGGATAATGAAGGATATGTGTATCAAATCTGACCAAGATTCATCAAGCCATGTAGAAGCTTTCATGGAACACACACACACACACACTTTAACTTTTCTATATATGGATATACAAACTTTATTTTTACCAGCCCAAACTTCCAAAAGGACATATAGTCAACATTTTTTTAAATAGAGAGAAAATAGTTGCTTACAAAATGTTACAATGTGGCAATTGTATCTGCTCAAGATACTTCATTTCATTCCTCTTTATGCCTGACATGCTCACTCATTGCTGATTTACTTTGGATCCTCACCTCCCATCATTTATATTTATTTGTTAAAAGTTTCATAAAATCAGTAAATCTTGTTATCTGTGGAAGCTAGTAACCATGGATAATAGCAAACACTACCGAAAGGAACAACATCCTGGAGTAATACTCAGGAAGTATTACTCCAAATACTTCTCTAGGACAACAAGTATTTGGAGTAAGCATTCCATAAAATCACGTGTATAAGAATTGTCTAGGCCTTCCACCATCGATCTTACCAATCAGAAGGTTGACAGTTTGAAGGCCAGGTTGGGGTGAGCGCCCAACCTTCAGCCCAGCTTACTGTCCCATCTAAGCAGTTCAAAACCAGCTGTGAGCTGTGAGCAGAGAAATTAGGCACCCCTCAAGCGAGGAGGTATTTTATGGCATCATAAAAGAAATATCAGAAAATGCCGATGATCAAAGAAAGGAGGAAGTCTGTGATCAAGGCTCTTCATCATAGAGGATGGAGCGACAGCATCCCCCCGTGGCCAGAATTGAGCACAACCTCCAGGACATCGAAGTTGAGGAAAAAATGTTGACATAATACCTCTATCTGTTGTCTGTCCTGTCTAACGACATTGAATATTTGTCATTTATGTGTTCTGCAACTCACCCTGAGTCCCCTTCGGGGTGAGAAGGAGAGAACAAAAATGCTGAAAATAAAATAAAATAAAATAAAATAAAATAAAATAAAATAAAATAAAATAAAAGTCATTCATTGGGTTTGCTATTATCCAGTTTCCTGTTTTGTGGTAAGTTCTGCTGGAGAATCCAAAAATTCCTAGATATTTTGTTGGATGTGGAAACAACTATGACTGATGGTGCTGAATTTTGGGATAAGCCTTCAAGTGGCTCTAGACAGTGGTTCTCAACCTGGGGTCCCCAGATGTTTTTGGCCTACAACTCCCAGAAATCCCAGACAGTTTACCAGCTGTTAGGATTTCTGGGAGTTGAAGGCCAAAAACATCTGGGGACCCCAGGTTGAGAAGCACTGTTCTAGAGGATGAGAAAATGTTCTTGTTTGCTTATCCAAGGGCCTGCTCTGATCTGGTAGTTTCATTTCACATTTATTATTGCTGAATAAAAAGTTTTTCGAAACACATTAAACTGCTCTTCTTTTGTGTTGCACAGAAACTCATCTCTATTTTTTCCCTGTTATTTCTGCCTCTGGTATCAAAGGTTCTGTCACAGACGAAATGCCCAGGAATGCACCTACAGTACTTTATTAAAAGAGGCACACCTTGCCTTGGATTGTGTCTGTCACTTGCTATAGGACAATTTGGGGGCCCCCATTTTGGGGTGTGGGTACAT